GAGGGGGTTTGTTTGGCCTGGCAAATAGGCCTCGTTTTCTTCCATTGATGTGAAGGAAGCTGTGTTTTTTGATGTTTTTGTTCAACTCGTGAAACTAATCACTTTTACGCACCTCCCCCCCAAATAGTGCTTCTTTCTTTGACGGACCTCCCAAATCCCGAATCCTCCCGTCCTCGCAGGCCTTCTTCGACGGTACGGGCAGCCTCTGGCAGAGCGGCGCACTGGCAGGCAAGCTCGGCGCTACCTTTGATGCCTGGCAGCAAGTGCTTCAGGGCCTACTTGAAGGGTCGGGGAAAACCTATGCAGTAAGTTTGCTTTTAAACCCTTATTTAGCCACAAAAGCCATCATCACAATGACGAGAATTTAATCGTCTTTGATAACCTTAGATCCCTGATTTTTAACTTGCTTACCGAGTCACATGGACCCTCCCCAGGCGTAGCTTGTAGGGTTCAGGGTTTTAGGGATTGAGCAGCCTGGGTTGAAGGGATATGGTTGAAGCAACAAGAGCTCTTGAGGCTTGTGTAGCTGAAGATTCTGCCGCAGGTTTTAGAGGTTTGCGGCTGAGGGCTGAGAACATCATAGGGGATTCCATGGAAAGACCTGAAGAGTAAAGGGTGCAAAAAGGTTGCTACGTGGGGGTTTCCCAATTCGAGTGGCCCCCTTTCTGTGGGTCCCTGTACTGTAAAAATGAGTATGGCATGTTGAGATCCTGTTGTTTCCCTGTGTATGGAACCCCTCTGCATGTAGGTCTCATGTCATGCACGAGGATATGGCAGCTCCTCAACCTGATCCCAATAGAATCCTCAAGAGCAACCCCTAGAATTTTCTAACAATGCTACTATATGCCTAGGGTCCGCTGAAACCTTGAGGCTTCGCCCCAAACCCTGAATGCTGAATTCAGAGCTGTGAGTTGAAGCCTAAGGTCAGCACTGGAACGCAACAGGGCGGGCAGGAGACCACCCATTTCACCGCAGACTCCCGGTCAGGATTTCAGATCTGGGTTGGGCTGGGAAGAGGCTCCTGCTTCAGGTATTTGAGATAAGGGTGTAGGGCTCATGGCCATGCTTACTGAAGTAGCCTCGTGAATGAATCGCTACGTAGTTGATACGCAACTACATTGTGCGCGGGGAAAGCGTTTCTGTCCGCAGCTTGAGGTGCGAAGTTGTTAGGGCTCTGGGATGGTTTGTTTTTTCTCGAGCTTGCGTACTCCATGGAGTTTCCGTGCGTCGTCCACGCATTCATGATGGCCTCTATATATACTCGCTCGACGACAGTTCCGGCTGCTTTGCTAGGTCTGCACCTTTGGTGGCCATGGTTCTAGTTTGCAGCAGCTACAGAGATCCAAGCAGACCATGGAGTTCTCATTAGACAGGCTCAGCACGAGTGACACAGGTTTTGGAAACTTCGCTAAGTCCCACCCCTCCCCATGTGGCCGTACACCCCGAACCGTTTGTTTCTTAATGGAGCGGCTAGGGCTACTCAAGTTCCTGCATTTCGGTGACCAATTTGTCAAGCTTAGTGATCGCCAATGCTATGCACCTCCATCCTTATAGATCCTGAACTCAACTTACCTAACCCTAGCTTCCCCGACTTGAAAGCCCCCAACCCAAATCCTTAGCACCCTACAGCTACAACCATGAAGCCCTAAAGCTATGCAACCCCAAGGTTACACAGCTTGTTCACCATGGCATGGCCTACGTGCCTTTGGGCTATCAGGCGGCCTGTTGCGGCGTTCAAAATCCTGGGTTGACTCTGAGGGTGTTGGGTTTATGGATTCAGGAGTTTAGGGGTTTAGGGGTTTATAGGTGTGAGGCTTTACATAGTCCCTCCTAATGGATAGACTATGGTGTATATGGGGATGTTGTTATGATTTTGGGCGATTCCGTACATTGTCTACTTAAGGGGGACTATGGGGTTTATGGGTGTAAGGCATAGGTGTTCGCTGTCTCTTGGCGGTTGCATAGCGCGGCTGGCAGGGGTTGGTGGTTCAGGCATTATTTTGGGACATGTGAGGAGCTGGAAAGGAAGAGGTAAACAGACCTTGCAAACATGTCTGACGATTGAAACGGGCCAATTTTGAGTCCATGCACCAGGCGGTGGCGTTGTGGGGCTGCACCCCCGGAATCATGGTTTTGGGGTGTAGTTTGGCGCTTTCAGATGGGGCTCCCACGATAATGTGAATGTAAGGGCCCTCAGCACTTGAAACATGAATCCCCAGAAAAGAGGTTCTTACTTTGGAATCACCAAGTGCGATGAAAACACCAGTCTCCAAAAGATGGGAGTGGCGCAGAATTTGACTTCAGTGCTTCTTGAGACATGCTTGCAAGGAAGAGTGATCAGATGCATCGAAAACAGTTGAGCGCCAATGTCTCCATGGTGAATCCAGTCTTTCCAGCCAGGCATTGATCGACCAGAATCAAATCTCGGGTACAAGGTTTGAACTTTTGTTTGCGTCCTGTTTTTCCCTGGCTTTGTCCTCCCAACTTGTACATATTATGCAGGAGCCTTTCTCATCAATATCAAAGTGCGGGTTTGTTCCTGATCTTACAATGAACAGCAACAAGGGCGGCCGTCTTTACGTAGTCTTACATCCTGAGGCTGTGAGGCTCATGAAGCTCTGAATTCTGAATCTCTCAACCACGATTTAAGGTGAAGGGTTCACCTCCTAATCACAAACTGCTCTGTCTTTCCAACAGTCAGGCTGGAGGCGATGGGCAGCTCCTGGGCCGTGGTTGAAGATTGTTTGGGATTATGGTACTTTTTAACTCAAAAGACTGGCCAAGCATTTGCCTTTACCGCCACATATCTTCTATATAGGATAGGGTCCCAGTGCTGAACAGGTACAATGTTTTGAAACCACTGCAGCATGTAGGAGATATATCTGCAGGTGCAAGGAGACCATTTTTGGACGTAGCATAAGCCACAAGCGCAAAGAAGCTATGGAAGAGCAGGTCTCGTGCCAGTGTAAGGTTTCAGGGTAACAGGAGCCTTGGGTCTCGGACTTCGGGGTTTAAGGCCTGCAGGGTTTCTCGCTCACAGACATGGAGCCCTTATCAACATTGTGATGTAGCAACCGAGGGTCCCAGTTGTGCACCCATGCCTGCTACACCCTTAGCTCCAAACCGCTAACCGTAGCGTGAAGCAATCTCGAAGCTTTAGTGTAGCTGTATGCCTTCAAGAATGGCATGGGAATGTGTTCTGCGCATCATTTTGAAGATGGGTTTCCCTCCAATTCAGGCAAGAGTTTCAACGGTACTGAGTTCCCGATTCAGGGTATATCGCTAGGGTCTTTTCAGAGTATAGATTATATAGGGATTTAGGGTTATGCTGCCCCCTGAATTTTTCCAATGAGAAAGCTTTGGAGTCAAGCCCGCTTCCTCCCTACACCCAGTTAAGCCTGGAAGCATACAATTATTTCAAAGCCAGACTCAAGGGCTTAAATTTGGAAAGCCTGAGGCCTAAGGGCCCTACAAGGCACCCTAAGGGAATAATATACCATATAGGGACACAATATATATATATATGCTAACCCCCCCCCTAGGACCAACCTTTAGCCTTTTCCATTCATGATTCCCCACTTGTGTCACTTACGTCATGCGTCAAAAACACTGTAAATACCGCTGAATTTGGGCCTTTCGCTTAAGATGAGCCGCAAATATTAGTCTTCAGAAACGCAGAGAAACGGAGACCCAAAAATGGACTTTCGTCCTAAAGCCGTATTCTATAA